GTTTTAAATTATTTAATAATATTTTTAAGTATCCCAAATTATTCGCCGCAGTCCTTCGCAGCATCGGATTTTGAACGTTTTAGCGGATTGTCCATAAGGATTATTTTGCTTTTTAACCACGTAATTTCGAACGACGCAAGCCATAATACTTCTCCTAGCTGTTTTCATAATCCCTCTTTTGAACTAAAATTCTCACTCAGAATGGAGTCAAAATAGCGATTATCATAATTTTCGGTCACTGGACACCTTTATCAAAATTCATATGTGATATTACTTCTATACTTTCTATCACTTTGGTCATTTGATACACGAAATTTAGCCCTGCTATCACTCATACTAGTCTTGTATCCATAATATCTGCTTAAGGCTGATCAGCACCTGTTATCAATTGAGTTGATTACCTTGAACGGCTTCCTATGTCGACTTTCGACGCAATGCAATGGATTTTAAGAATGTCTGATCTATTGACTAACGTCCTATGCACCACATCTTCAAAGAACAATCAGTTGATGTCTTAATTGAGCGCTACTAGCAGATAGATGACTGAAAATATCAATTATCATCATAACAGCAAATCGTAAAACAAGTACATAAAACAAATTTTTGTGATATCGGAAATATTTATAATACAGTGACCTTAGGAATGCTTTTCCAGGATGAGAGAAAGCTTCAATTTTATAACCTCCATATGTAGTAAGAACAAACCGTAGGCTTTGAATACAATGTACTTGACGTTCATATTTGCCGACCTTATCAACACTACCCATGCCTCGAGAATTTTCGGTTAAAAATTTGTATCGCAGAAAGTGTGCAGATTTGCAAATGAAATATTGCATAGTACTCAATAGAGTATAAAATTGATATTCAGCAGATTGCGCACAGAACTGTGGCATTACAAATCATGCGCCGCACATTCTGAACAAAGAATGGTACCAAACAACAATGGTGAACACAAAATGCAATATAATACATTTCATCATAGTTTCTACTGATGCATTCAGAAGTCGCCTATCCCTAAACAGAACAGTACACAAAATTGGCCAAGAAAGAATTTAACCTAAAAGACGACCTGACATTGACAACTAGTCCTTTTACTGTTTTCTCTTATATCAACGACGTTTCTGTTTATCGGATTAATGAACATGCACTATAGAAAATACACTTAAATCAAGTCAAATTAGATTTAAAACAAATACATTAGACATTGTAGATATCGGAATGTAAATAAAAAACAGAAAATTTGATTTTGGAAGCCATCCGTTATTTCGCATATAGCTGAATTAAATAACTTCAGCATTTACGAAAAAATTCATCTACGCAAAAAGTTGTTTAAAGTGGTAACCACATTAATTATATAATTTGTATAAGTTAACAAAGACATCAAGTGTTGTCGCTAAAACAGTTTAGCGCAGAACATTTATTTTTTAACAAATTCACCGAGCATAAATTAAAAGAACTCCCATTACATTCTTGCACGAACATTTATGAATCATAATACTGACATTGGAAGCCGACGAAATAGAATAATTATTAATTTGGAAACGAAACTCTGAAAGCATAACGTAATACCTTCTTACGCGTCAAAATCATAATATTAGCAGTAACGTACATATCACAGACAAAAGCTGTTCACTCATAAGCAAACTGCACAACATGCTAATTAATAGCTTGAGACATGTGCAAAGGAGTTAAAATAAGTCTCAACGTAGCGCCTTTAAAATTTGCGCCTCTGAGATTAGCTTCTTCAAGATCGCTGCCAGAAAGGTCACAGTTCTAAAATAACAAAACATTTTTCAGCAAAGAGATTGGAAATAAAAAAACCCTCTGATATTATAGTTAATAAATATTCGACTTTTAAGGTGCTATAAGCATGTTATCATACTCACACATAAAACATATCCAATTTCAGCAAAAGCATACAGAGAACGACGGTTCTTTAAGCACCATTGGTGACGAGTAATGTATTGCTCAAGCATATAAAAGAAGCTAGATGCAGCTAACTGTGCAGATGCTCAAATAACTTTGTGCATAACTTGCCTACGATTATACTTATGCAGAGAAGAGTAAGAAAACGTTGATACATGGTGTAAAAAACGGTTTTCGACGCGCTAAGCGCTTATTACCGTGTTTTGGCGTAAAAACTCATTCACTATTTCGAGAAAGCATTTGAGACATTGTTATATAAAACAATGCAAGATGCAAGTGATCAAATGCCATTAAGCCACAGCCTACTTAAGTGGCTTCCCAGACTTCTAACAGCGGCTTGTACAACACCACGCAAAAGCAGGTATAGAAGACGGTTAGAACGAAACCAAACTGCAGTAAACATGTAACAAAATTACTGTTAACTCTGATGTGTTGTTGGAAACAGGCGGCATGACGAGAATTACAGAATTACGTAAAACAAAATTGAGAAGCAAACCGTTTTACTTTGTCCTATCATTATCATCCATTCTAATCTGTCATTTGACCAACGTTTAGATCTTTTTCCTTGTCATTCATTATGTTAATCACGTTACGCTACGGTTTTGAATTTTGCCAGAGGGCAGGGAATATTTTTTGCATACATGCTCTTTATGCGCCACAAGAACGTGACCAAGTAGTACGACTAATCGCTTAAGACTGCTGTCTCTATTAGCTACGGAAATACTGCCATCGTTAAATGCACATTTAGCTGAAATGAGATGTTCGATACAGAGCTTTCTATATCGCTATGACATGGAATTATAAGCAGTTCATATTATGTGAATACTCTGCCATTTATAGAATTACAAACACATGATCGCAGATTCACATAATTTAATATATTATATCAAGGACAATACTGCTGAGACTGCTTTGACAGTATCTCTCAAAAAATAAGATAACCGTGACATCTGAATTTATGTAGAAAGAGAAACTCAATTTCATTAAGTAATTCATTATTTTATATCAGGAGGCGAGATGGAGAGTGACCGCGAGGAACTGCCGCTATGGTTGCGACCAGCGCGTTTCGTCCCTGGGAGAATTTCTTGCTCAAGAGAACTAGAAGTTAATAAGAGAAAGAGAGTAATTACCGTGTTACCGGTATTGGCAAGGAAACGTGTCAACTTTCAGTAAAACTTTTACATGTCTGTCTTATGTTTTTCAACCATGCAGCAAGAGAAAAATCTGTTAATGATTAGAGGGTCTAGAATTAAAAACGCTTTCAAGAAAATTATGCTAAGGAAAATTTACACCGCGCGTTGGTTTTGAACCGGCATTCTAACGCGTACAGTAAGCAATGACCCATTGCGCCACTGCTCTAACACTCATCATCCATTATTTGCAACGACTAAGGGATTTGAGCAAGGTAAAACTGGAGTACAGCAATTTCCCGCAAATTAATTAACGGACCAGTTTTGGTTTTACATTCAGTGCGAAGATAGTGCTTTTCCGCAGATTTTAACATACCGCGTACAGAAACGCCTGACAAACGCATGCTCTTTTCAATTTGTTGAAGACAGCCTTGGCGATTTGGGCGGAAAAGGGAAAAAGAAAGTTAGAAACCTTTGGATTGCTGGTCTTATTTACACTTTCATGATGTAACCGTTTCTGCCATCC